TTTATCATAATTTCAATTTCTCTATTTTCTGTAAAATAAGATCTCTTTGTGATATATGGTGAGTGAACACTACGGACAGGAATAAATGTAGTCCAAGTAGTTCTTTACGAGAAGTATGAGGGCACTGGCAAACAAAAATATTCGCATTGGATTAATTGAAATTGAAGATTTTTATCAGGAATTACCACCATGCTTCAGCAGAGACAATGCCAGCAATGAATCTGTTGATCACGACGTAGAAAGAGCCACCGTGTTTTCCTATGACACCAGCTTTTTTAAAAAAGGATACCCTGAAATTATTAAAACATCAAACCTTGGTGAATTTGAAGCTTTAAAAAGACGTCTTCCAAATTTACCGATGTTTATGAATGTAAGTGTGGGGGTTGAAGGTCGTCCAGAGAGCGAAGTAGGACTCATAATGTTTATTAACACAAAGCACTCCGAAATTTCACATGCTCTAAGAGGAAAATTGGACGAAGCAGAAAATTACTTCAGACGTGGAAAAAATTTTTCTCTTCAGATTGATTTTAGTCGTTCGCTGATAAATTGGTATAAGCATGATCGCTTACAAGGGGGCGGGGATTGCTATACAAAACGGGCACGATTTTACATAACTAATTCGAGTATTCCATGTGGTGTAGGCAAAAATTACTTGTTTCGTATATTTGTCCAACCTCCGTATTCCATATACAGAAGTATAATTTTTAATGACTTGAAAGCTTCTATCTCCAGCCCTACCCAGCTGATATTACCAACAAATCAGGGATATGCAAATGCACAACAAGAACAGTTACAAGATGACGACCCAAACGTTCCTCAGCCAGCATACAATCCGGGCGCACCTCCTCCATATGAAACATTTCTACCTGGAACCGCAATGCCTTGACGAATTATCCATCATAGGCATAAAGTGGATGTATAGCAAAGGTGCGAAATTAACTTGACGAACTTAATTCAAATGGACGCATTAACGAACAGATAACAATCAGACAAAAAGTACAAAAGCTGTTTCAAATGTGATACCTTTCACTTTATTAGGACGTTTTCCAAAAGATCACTAAATCCATCTATTTTATATGTTTTTTAAAACACTATATAAGTTTACCAGAAGTTCGTTGGGAATTTCCACATGTATTTTGTGTAAATTGTAAGCAAACCTAAGATGAGAAGTACTAGACATGAATTGTTGATTGATGTGCATCGTTTTGCTAAATTGTTGCTGGTACTTATGGGTGTTGTCTCAAAAATATCACAGAGCGTTTTGAGAATCGTTATTTTCCAATTCACTGTTTATTGAATTATATAGTCATTTCATTTTGTTACTGAAATTATTTTAAATATATTTTATATATGTGTTATGTAGCATGGTTATCAAGCTTTTATCCGATTTTAGTTGATATGTCTCTAATCATACATGAGGGTAGGTGCCTACGGGAAGCTTTTTTTTGTATCCAAACATGTTTAAAAGCGCTTGTTCTACAAAAAAGATTTGTTTTTAATTTGATTTTATAATGTTGAGGCACCATAATTGATGAAGCCATGGGCCTGATAAGAATGGATAATTTCAATACATCTTATGTCGTTTTTAAAATGAGGAAAACATTTTTATATTTTGATATTTCCCTATAATCTCAACGCCACGGATAGGAATATATAAATGTTATTACGAGCAGCACAGAAATTTGATTTCATGTTACAAATGTTTGTAATAAACAAGCAGTGGCCTCAAACCTTGTTGTTTCAATATTGCACAACTTTGGAATGAAATTTTACGAGCTTGATTTAAATTTAAAATTGGGCAGTGTTGCATTAAATCTCCTCAATTAATTTCTCTGATGATCTTTTTTAAGACAGTGGTACGCACATGCATGTAACGTATACTTGAAAAATTTGATTTAGGAAGTTCTGAGAGAAGGACAGAACGTCAGAACCAAACCAAAATTTATAAACAACACGCATTAGTCTAGAATAAAATTGATGGATTCGACAGCAAAACACCAGTTACTCTCATAAATCCTAATTATTACAGATTTATTCAAAAAAGGTAAGGAATGTTCATTAATTATTAGAAATTTCTTTTACAAGAAAATGAATCAATGTGGTATGATCAGGCTTGTCCCTGGGACGTATTTTTCTGTTCCATCCCATCTCATTTTTCCTTTGGAATACAATTCAATAAAAATTAACAAAGTGGCGCTTCCCACGAGGGCAAGTTATAGGTAAATATGAAGGGATGCTGGTTAGGGGGTGGATGGATGCAGGCGGGTCGTAGCGCCGGACGAATCCCGAATATTCTTCCGGCTCGGGGCACGGCCCCCACCGCAAAAACTACTCGAAAAGTTCCCAGTGATCGAACAAATGCTATTCCATTCTGGAAACGACGCTAAACGATCCCTAAACCACAAAATCATTCAAGTGTGATTTATTTGATGGTTTGATTTACATGTACTCGCCTCCAATTCACAAAACTCCTCTTTCTCTTGACCGGTCGCTATGGTGGAGTATGTATGTGGACACCGTTCCGGACTCAAATGTCCAGTTTTGTCCAAATCGCCCCGCCAGGACATAATGTTAATTTTGTTGACGCACAAAACGTAATCTCATATAAATTTTTCCCAATTATCTTTCGTGTCCCGCTTGTCCCAATTGCTCCACGTGTAACATGGCAAATACAAATGTGTGGTGCCCCATCTCATCCAAGCCTGGGTATAATATAGAAGGGCGCGCCCTATTGACCCCGAAGACGAATTTAGCTATTTTATGAGATGAAGAGAATACGAAATAAAAGTTGATAAAATCTTTTGGTAGCGCATATATGCTTATTATTTATTGTATTTTCACCAGAACTCTGGAAGTATACAAGTATTTTTCTTATTAAAGAAGAGATCGAAATCAAGTCAAGTGTTACTGGTCGGGTGCTCGTTTGAGTTCAGGTTTGAGTAGAAATGTACAAATAGTTAGCTTATTCATTCAATGAATTTTGCTTTACAATTTTATATTAATTCTGCATGTCGTAAAATGATATTTAATAAATTATAATCAATAACTATATTGTAAAGCAGCTCAGTTGGAACATTAAATTTATCACGTTAAATTCAACTTAATAAATTTTGCGTAATATTTCAATGAGGTTTAGTTTAGAATTACCAGAAACTGTATGTTGCAAAAATTGTCAACAATTCTTTTTCATTTTCAGTATTAATAAACTTTTTTTGTCTAACCTTCTCACGAATGTGGTAAAGCCGAAAAAAACAAAAGCGTTAGATTTCCATTTTTAGTATATTGGGAGGGTTTGCGGTGGTTAGCTACTACAAAGATAATAGGAAATCCCTTAAATACCATCACATCTCCGTGACGACGGGGGATAATCACACTGGAAAAATTAATACATATAACTTAAATATTGCGGTATTTGCAATAAAACAAACTCCATAAATACGGAAGTGTTTTGTATGAATTCAAAGAAATAAAGGAGATAAATACGTAAAAGGTACAAAATTCGAAAGCAGTTGAACAGTAAAATTATTATTTATTTTGCATCACTTTAAAAGTATCCTATTACAGAAAAATTAATTCCGTATTTCATGTCTAGTCGAGCATCGATATTGTGGCGGCTCTCCGCAGCACATCCTTGGTCTGCTTATTGATATAATGATATAGGTATATATCTGACTTTCGTGAAAACAGACATAAATTACCCACTTCAAATTGCGGAATGGGTCAGGGTGTCTGAACGCCAAAGTTTAGTAATGTCGCAGTAATATGGTCTGATACTATATGTATTCCGATGTGCCAAACAGTAAAAGATTTTTATAATTTAGTTTCAGAACTGCTATAAAAAACTAACAAAGTGTGGGTAAATATACTGTAAATATACTCTATAAGAAAACAAATATCGTACTGAAATTTTATTCATTAATTTTTCAAATGAGATATAAAGCTACTCTGCTGCTATGTATTCTAATATACTCACTACGCTTGTAATGTTATGTATCCAACAATTCAACAGTATCTTGGGATTAATGGAAGATCAATTTGATAAATCAGTGAACGGTAAGGGTAAATGTATTGTTTGTTGCATTATTATGTTAAGATTTATTTTATTTTATTGTATTGCTTCTCTGTTTTGCTTATTGATCTTGTTTTGATATTGATCTGTTTTGATATTGATTTGACACGTAATTTAGGAAAATCTTAGAACTTTAAATGATATAGATCTATTCACTATTGTATGTTACATCATCGTTGATATAATGATTTTGATATTGGTCTCTTATAATTGAGCAAACAAATTAAGCTTAAAAGGATCCGAACCAAAAACTATGCCCTATCGTAACTTCATATTTTATAGACATATATACTAAAACAATAATGAAAATAAAATACCCAAATATAATAATTCAATGATTTTATTGAAACAAAATATACCATTGTGTTAGGATTCTATATTAACAATATTGAAAGAATAAAAACGTATAAGAGAATTAAATAGCGGTACGATACAGTTTTCAAATACAATGAGCTAACAAGCCTAAAAATTAGAAGTTCAGATCGAACTAACTACTATAAACGCAATAATAATTACATAGGTCATAGATGAATCTTTATCAAAAAAAAAATTCAGCAATCCTCCTATTGTAGTTTTCTGTTACATTATTCCATTTTTATATGAGAGAGATAAAAATGTTTGTTACAGAGGAAAATGCAATCGCTGAATCAGTAAGAATTTCTGATTCTTGGAATTCTATGGTTGATCAGTCAAGAGTGGAAATTTTCAATGCAGCATCCTCTTCTAGTCATATCAGACCAAATTCAAGAAAGAAACGAACAGTTTCAACAGGTGAAGTAATATGTTTAAAAATAGGAAGGTTTTCAAGGCTCGTATGTTTCAACATTCGGGCATCATCAAATCACATCATTGAATTATAACTAAAAAAGTTAAATCGAGTAATTAAGGCAATTTATTGAAACAAGTTCTATTTCAGAAAACAACGCGTGTGTAACCGGAGAGCATAATTGCGGAGAAAATGCAGTTTGTTTGATAACTTCGTGGTCTGATTACAAATGCAATTGTAAGATTGGATTTGAATGGAATGGTTACCAGTGCACAAGTGAGTTTTTCAATCCTGAAATAAGCTGGACGGTACAATATCTTTATAATATTTAGACTATGCAATCTTAAATTTACAAATATTTTATTAATTTTTTGGGGGGAAATCGCTTAATTTTGGCCATATATTATATCATGTGAGGAGAATTAGAACAGAAACATGACACTTTAAACAAAGCGAAAGTAAAAAGGAAACTCGAATCTTATCACGTTTTAAAATAATTGCGGAGAACATAGTTCGACAAATCTACTTGGCTCATAGACGAGGTCAAGATGTCTAACATGATTTGTCAAATCTTTTAAAAATGTAATGATAGAATGGTAAACTATTAGTTTTTGTCCATGAATACAGGTCACATTCACGATTTAATTGTAAAACTAAAAATTGAAATACTAAGTATAGGCAAAAGTAGCTTTTCGTAAGCTATACTACTACTTTATAATATATTGAAGTAGAAAAATGCTCAACATGTGAACTAGAATCTTGACAGCAATGTCTGACAATGTCAGAATGTCTGACAGCAAAATTTTGAACAAAGTAACAATTTATGTAAATATGTAATTTTCATTCCGCAGGAGCTAAAACTATTTATATGGTATCAAATCAAGGAATTTCCATACAGTTGTCGCTAAAAAGCAATACATACACTGTAAAATATTTTTGTTTGTTTATGAAAAAAATAAGTATATATCCGTAAAAATACGAGCTGTGGTGAGGGGAATTTCGCATTAGGAAACCATTGCGTACGAACATTTTGTAACACTTCGTATTCTTACGTTTGTTTGCCCAATTGTCTGAACATTTGGGTGTATGTCTGATTGGTGTCGCGTTTGAAAACTTGATTATTTTTTCAAACAACAAATATTCCTGCAGACGTATTGCACAAATGCGCAATATAATGGATCAACTGTAAATCCACAGTCATTCTGCAACATTTCTCATTAATGACAAGTTTGTTGTATAAACAACAGAGTTTCAAAAATAGACCGAAAACACCCTTCAATTTTAAAAAAGTCGTACTGCAAAACAGAAACCCTGTATTAGATTACAGGAAGTTGTATACATAAATATTACTTCTTGCTTGTCCGCTGTTGAAAATGTCTGAGCAAAATAGGGTTAAGATTAGAATTGATTTCACATTTTTCTTCTAATTCAAATTTTATTCAACTTACAGATAGTTTTTATTTATGAATTTTTAACCAGTTTCTCCCAAGAAATGGATTGATATAATACTTGTTTACAAAAATAAATTCTCATTGGACCTCCTGAAGTATGCGCACCAAGATGGCGCACAGCCTGAAATCAGGTTGTGTACCAGGTTAGGGTTCAGGTTATGCGACATCTTGGTGCGCATACTTCAGGAATACCTTCTCATTTTTGGATATGATATATATATGGTCCACACTATTTTTAAAAAAATGAACACAAACATTATCCGGCATCATAGGCTATCAATTAAGGGGTCTCATTTTAACATCAAAGAAATTGTGATGAATCTAATACAGAAAGAAACAAACTTGCATATATACTAGGCTTTCATAAGCTCAAACGTCAACTAAGAGTCTTGAAGCAGCACAAACCAAAGAATGAATTTCAAATCAAAACACCATGCTATTAAAGGACGAACAGTATACGTCACCAGGGTCAAATGTCGTGGCTGTTTTATGCGTTGCTAGATTTTCAGACATAAATCACCACAAAGTACTGTCCTCCGAAGAATAATTTCTATTTGCTACATATATAATTTGATTAATAAAAATTTCTGCGTATTTCCCCAAATTTTTTGAACTGTTGCTGTGTGATTGTTCGATTACTTTGATAAAGTCAGCTATTCCCAAAACAATCATTTATACAGGGACTGATGAAGTATACGTTCGTCTGAATGGAGTATTTTCTTCAAATGCTGGAGTTAATCGCGGAAGAGCAGAAATTTTCCACGACGGTGAATGGGGAGCAATATGTGATGATGGATTTGGTATAGAAGAAGCACAAGTAATTTGTAGAATGGCGGGATTTATAGACGCGTTAGAGGCTCCTTTAGCTGGATATTATGGACTACCGGATGTAGATGTAAAAATTTTGATTACTAGTCTGGATTGTGATGGAACTGAAACAAGCATAAACGAATGTAAGCATTCTGGGTGGGGAAATCATTCTTGTAACAGAGGAGAGGAGGCTTCTGTTGTATGTACAGGTATAATTTTCCATAATGATTTTTACATATCTAAATCCAGAATAAAATTATTCCTGAGGGTATTAAATGAGATAGAAATTTATTACTATATATCGGAGTTTGGTGAAAGATTTGGGGAACTCAAATATTCACAAACAAAACTATTCTACGTAATAAAAACAATTGGAAATGAAATTTTTTTTCAAACGAACAAAATACTGAATAATTTACGAAAATTTTTTTTAACTCAAATTTTTTTTTTCTAATTTCCAGGTAACACAATTCGTTTAAGAGACTCAAAATATAATTATGAAGGAAGAGTTGAAATATTTCACGACGGAGAATGGGGAACAATTGGTGATGATTCATGGGATAACCTCAATGCTTTGGTAGTTTGTCGAATGCTTGGATTTCCTGGAGCGGTATGGGGAATCCAAGACGCCTATTTTGGCGAAGGTACAGGAAAAATTTGGTTGAATGACGTCTCATGTAGAGGAGATGAACATAATGTGGAATACTGTCGACGTAGTGAGTGGGGGAATCCAGGTGCCGATCACAGTGAGGATGCATCTGTTGTTTGCATGCCAAGTAAGCAGCATTATCCGTGGCTACCGGTAACTGACTAATTTCAAAAATTTAAATAGTGAAATTTGTCCTGTAGGAGAGAGTCGGAAACACTTTTTTTCTTTTACATCTTTTGGAGTAATGTAGAGAAGAGTAAAATGTAGTTTTTAATCAGCGACTAAGATTATACCCAAGCAAGATACACTCACCACCAAAATACCTTGTAAAACGTTTGTCACGAGCCTACTTCACCCCACTGGTTGAGCACATTCGGACACACTTTGGTGCACGGTGAAGGAATTTGTTCAACTCAACAAAAATATCAACAAATCAGAATCGTTATTCAAACATTTTGAGGAACTGCGGAATTTCAAATTTGGAGATTTATTAGTTTGAAATTAATTTTCAATCAAAATATTCCAGACCTTTTTCAGAAAAATTCTTGCTATCTCAACGACATACGTATCTGAATAGATTTTTATTGTTGAATTGTCTGTTAAATATTTTAGATCCCTATTATTAAATATGAAATAAATTCATTGTGTTTTCCTTTGAATAATGCGTTATTCCAATCAGGTGAAAAGGCGTTTTGAAAGTTAGATTCTCGACAATTATAATTTTCTTGTAAAAGGGCCGAAGAGTCTCTGAGTGCTTAAAAAGAACAATAATTGAAAGTGTAATTTTTTCCAATGGCCTGAACGGTTCACGGTGTTAAACAAAACAACGAAATCACCAGATATAGAAACATTCAAAATGCCTGGCCAGAGCCCAGAAGCGACTAATTTCCACCTTCGAATAAATTCAAAAATTTTATGTTTGAATCTGGGAATATATTCCAAATTGGCCCGGAAAATTGCACACAACATAACGCATTCCCAGGCCTTTAAGTACTCAATGGATAAAGGGCTGATATTTTTCAGCAATTATGGTGCGTCTCTATGGATCAACAGGAAAGCATCAAGGAAGAGTGGAAGTTCTGCATGATGGAGAATGGGGGACAGTTTGTGACGAATCATGGGACATACGAGCTGCTGATGTCGTCTGTCGGATGCTTGGATATATTGGTGCAGACTCCGCACGTAGTGGCGCTTATTTTGGGAAAGGAATGGGAAAGGTTTGGTACAATAACGTTAATTGTACTGGATATGAAGATCACATGGATGAATGCAAAATATCGATTGGAGACGGGAGCTGTGGACATGATCGTGACGCCTCAGTGATATGCATACCTTCAAGTACCTCTTATCATACTTTATTGTTTACGCATTGCGTATTCTATATTGTCTTCGATCTATTAGTTTTTCTTTATATGATTCCAATTCAATTTACGTTGTAGAAAAGGTGATATAAGTGCCTAGTGTGAGCGAAGAAGTTATGTCCATGAGATTCTATCACATGCTTTTTCATGTTATAAATTCTTTATTTCAGTATCTCCCAGCAAAGTTCGTCTTGTTGATGACAAAACAGGTTTACAAGACAGAGGTCGAGTTGAAGTTCTGCATCACGGAGTTTGGGGTACAATATGTGATGATAACTGGGATTTTGAAGACGCAAGGGTTATTTGTCGTATGTTGCAGTTTCAAGACGCGATGGATGCACCAGGTCAGGCTTATTTTGGGGAAGGAAAAGGAGTAATTTGGATGGATGAAGTTGAATGCACAGGAATGGAAACAGACATCAAAACTTGTCCACAGAGAAAATGGGGTTTGCACAATTGTTATCACGACGAAGATGCATCTGCAGTGTGCATTGGTAACTATATCGTCACGCTAATAACCGAATTGCGTAAGTCATTTTTAGCAGTTTGGAGAAAAACGTAAAAAAAATGCTAATGATATTGTTAGCCATTGAGAGTCAATAATTTGCCATGGTTCAATTTTTTGATCGTAGCCGGATTTAAGTTGATTTGTATGACGCAGTTAAGTGACGTCATAATGGCGCACTGTGACTTAGGCAGAAATGTGTCTATGACTTGGGGACATACGCAATTTTGCAACTTTACTATATGCACCAGTCCTGAAAACTGAACATTTCGAAAACTAATGTAATTCTCAGTATCTGCAATGTCTAATCCCCAAAATAGCTAATCAGTTCCAATTACATTATTTTTTATGTTTAAAAATATATATTTCATCAATATAACACGTTCTGCACACCCACCGAAATAAGACTAAAATTAAATATAAAGAATAAAACAGCATTGCACCCAATATAAAAGCCAGCCAAGATGAATTGGACTTGGACAGTGAATATCGCAAGTGCACGCCTTCCTATACTATAGTATAAATTCAAATTAATACGCGCTAAGCTAGAATCCGAGATGCGAAAACTCGAAAATACTTAGCCGAGGTTATTTTGTTTCTGTGACGTCACAATAGTCCTGCGCTAACAATGACAATTCATTATGACGAAACAATTGCACAAATGTGCATGTCATACTAATTCTCCATTTTTATGGGTTTCGGAATTCTTAAAATAAAATCTGAGTTAACAGACAGGTGCGCAGCATTACATAAATACCTATTTTATAAAAAAAAACTCAAAATCGCCAAAAATGACTTACGCAATTCGGTTATTAGCGTGACGATATAGAACAGTTCTTTGCTATTAATTATTTATTACTAAAATAATATCTAGTTTTGAACATTTTACAATATGCTAATAAGGTGTGAATCACTAAACAATATTTTACCTTACACATTAAATGCTATAATATGATGCGACTTTCCTGCTGAAATATTGCCATGAAAATCTGCAGTGAAGTCGTATGTACTATAAGCTAAAAACACTCAACCAATTTGTCAATTAGATGTTGATTGGCCTGGCTCAGTCTAATGTTTAATGCGGTCATTTCTTCAGCTCGCGGCTGGAATATCTTAATTTCATATATTGTAGTTATAAAACTTGAATTATTTAAAATTAGAATAAAAAACAAGGTATTTAATTAGTCTTATATTATGTGCTCAAGATGTTGACGAGTGTTCTTCGTCTGATATGCACAACTGTGATACAAATGCAATTTGCACAAATATTCCTGGTCGATTTGTTTGTACTTGTAAGAGTGGATGGAGGGGGAACGGAATCTCTTGTAAAGGTAAAAAAAAAATGGCATATATAATTAATATTTGTATAAACATTATTGTTATGCAACTTATAATATCAAGATTATGAAATATATTTCTACAAAATATGAGAACAATTATTTTCAAATTTTGTCACACATTTTCATTTGCCACATTTTTTAATACTTATGAATACTACTAAAATATTCGGCACAAGTTACTTTTACTTTATTTCAAAACCATATTACGAACAAAGAAATAAAAGTATATGAAAAACATTCCATGTATTCAAACCAAACGATTTTTCTCAAATAACTACAAACAACTGATATTAATAATAATTTTATAAAACACGTAAAATTGCAGTTTTTCAAATATAACCATTTTAGTATGAGTGTACATCAAACGTTTTTTTTTCTTCTTTTCAGATGTGGATGAGTGTATTGAGATGAATGACTGCGATCCACTCAATGGAATATGCACCAATACAGATGGAGGATATTATTGCTCGTGCCCTACCGGATGGAGTGGAAGTGGAAGTGAATGCATAGGTAGATGAATTTCAGAAATAAAATGCTCTTCATTGACATTGTATCCGTTGATTGAATAGGAGCTATAGCGATAAACTATAACACAATAGTACTGGATTATGTGTATGTATATAAGTAGACAAAAGAAAGCGATCAACTATTTTTTGTCTCTCAATGTCATCTCTGATTCATCTAACGCTGACATGGGCAAACTACGACTCGCAGGCCAAATTCGGCGAGCTTAGTAATTCAATCTGGCCTGGCTGATGCCGTCACAAACAAACCCAACCTCGAATTTTGATGTTTTAGATAAAAAATAGCACAAGTAATTTGTTGAGATTGCGATTAAATTTGGTTTTGGCACAAGGATTATTGTTTTTGCTTTTGTAAAACTGTAAATATTGTTCCTAAAATGAAACTTTTTGCATCACGATTACTCGACCCGCCAGTCTATTTGGGCAAAAAATTTTTGCCCCTGATCCAAAAACCGTATCACCCCTGAATTTTAACGTTATGATAACAAAAACAAATTTTCACAGAATATGCTCTTAGACAGTTTTTGTAATAATCCAATGAGAAAATGTAATAATCGGAAATAAAATAAAACACACAATTATCGTACATTATTCAAGTATTTTATATTGCAATTAAACCCATTTTTAAAATTGTAGGGACTAAAAAAATAGGTTAGTCTGCATAACATAGAATATTTAGGAGTGTGATTTATCTATACATTTCTCTCTATTCATCAGAGGGATTGACCCTACCGAAGTTGGCAGGTATAATAGCCGGAGTAATCGTGTTTTCACTCATCGTTGTACTGTTGATAAGTTGGAAGTTTTTGAAAGATAAGGAACTGATAATTTGCTGCATGCGCACGAGAAACAGAGAACGAAATCAAGTATTTATATTTACTACTTATTCTTTAAGATCAGATTGTATTCTCAGATCCCCTTTTTCTCGTCATTATCTTAAAATTCAGCTATAATACTCATGAAAATATTTAATTTCACCCAGGGACTAGATGAGGATGGGACACCGCGTCCGAATGAAAGAGCTGGAAACGTATTTCATGGTAAAATGAACTTTATCAATCAAATGTGAAATGCCTCCTTGTGTATATGTATATATTTATATTATTTTTTTGTTTTTCAGTGAACGGAAACATAAATTTGGCCTAGCAATTTAATGATGGCCCGAAATTTTATGAAATTTCATGAAGTGGTTCGAATATGACTTTGAGACATCACAATTTTTCGTGCAATGCCCTTCTTTGCACCACTGAGAGATGCCAAAATAAACAATAAATCATTTAACCGAGGCGAATATGACAGCGGAAAACACATTTAACAACATTTCTTTTTTAGCTCTGTGATATATTTTGTATTTTATGAACCTATGGCAATCCCAATTATAACAAAAAATTCTCGTATGGATTTTAGACGAAAATAAAATATTAGTAATCAACATTTTTGAAGCAAAATATATGACATGCTTTACGTTGTATTATTTGCTGGCCTGTCCTTATAATAGAGAAACCATAATTATTAATATAATTTTAATTGCGGGCTTTAAAAAACTAGGGTATAACCCATCATATTCAATATATATAAGAGTGCGCACATTCCGAGTTGAAATTTACTTCTTGTATTCTGTCATTTTATGTTTCTTTGTCAAAAAAGGTTCGTAAAATTCTTAAATCATAAATAATACACATTAGTTATGAATATAACAATCTCGTCGTTATTACAAACTTATGGTTTCTCGGTTTCGCTTTTATCTGAAACTGTTGATACTTCTTTTATTTGTCCAGTTGCATAGTTATCGCTGATTGTCGTTCCGCTGGATATTTCCGGTTTATTCAGGTAAAATCTAACTCTTGCATAGCTTTTGCGAACCGGCCCTTGTTGTTAAGTGTTGAGGGCGGTCTGAGTTGTAAGTTTCTGCACAGAACCATATTCAATTTGTTTGTAATTAGCAAGTGTCAAAAAAGCTACCAAAAAACTTATTAAAGCGCCTTAGTAATGTATCATCCGCAGGTCTATTCCATACATTATTACACTGAACTAAAATCGATCTAGTCATTATAAATTGGACTAATCGTGTGTATTCAAAATCGGAAAAATACTACTTTTTTAAAATTAATTTTCTCGCCAAAAAAAACTGTAGCTCAACTTGCGCTAAGCAAGTAAAAACGTCGTGTAAAACAAATATTACGATTTAGTAAAAATAATGAATTTTGAAACTCACAGTACAAATACATATGCTGAAAACGCATACCAATGTCAATAGGACAACTGAAAAAGAAGAAAAGAATAGGAGATTTATAGAGTGAACAATATTTTCTAGCGGATTCCTGGAGTTGAGACGCTTTTGTCAATCACCTAACGATACAAAAATTCTTCTAAAACACAAGGAGCATGCAAGTGAAGCGCCATCTTGCGGCGTTTGCGTTTGTTAATAAGCATTACAAAAATAAAACGTTTGCAGTTGTCACGATAAAAAAATCAGCCTAATATCATCAAAGTGAAACAGGAATGACATCACTTCCAATTAGCTATCATTGTATTTATTTCAAAATAGAATTCACGACTGGGACTGGGCTAAAACAACGCTGCCACCATACATTTTAAGAAAACTTACTTTTTACTAATCCTACGACGACTATTGCAATCCAATTTAGATTAGCACTTGTGCCTTCACACTTACAAATGCAGGTAAAATTTTTGTCGTCTTCGGAATTTTCTTCTATCTATTTAAAATAATATGTGTGAAAAGTAAGAAAATCCAAACGTTTGAATATTCAAAATCGCATGCACTTATTTATTTGATTGACTCAACTTTAAAAAGCGTAGAATTTGTTTTGTAATTTTCGTTTTCTTTGTTTTGTAAGTTTAAAAATTACAGAGAAATAACTCCCATATGTCAAAATGCAACAAAAAATGTCACATCAAGTTTTAATGAAAGTATGCCTGAAATATAAAATATTATATAATATAAATGATTAACTGGATTCGTGACTTAATCTGTTTTTAAAGTTAATAATTTGAAGGTTTTGTCGGGAACCTTGTTCAAGATTAACTCAACTTGAAAAGCAAGGTCGCAGAATGACTCCGATTACAGATATCCGTGAAAAATGAAAATTTAGGTTCACGGGGTTTTAGAAATTTATGTCTTCGAAAATTAACAAAATATTTATTGTCAAATAACGTCATTTGATGGTTCACGACTCCTAAAAATTTGTCACAGGCATTTTAGAGCCCTCTTTCAATTATATTAGTTCTTTTAAAAACAGTTCTTTTGATCTAATTATTTTCTCATAAAATCCAACAAAAATCGTTTATAATTAAAATAAAATACTTTTTCTATTTTTGCTAAACTATACGAATGAGCCAACTGTGGACATGGACAATCAGCTTTTAGTGATTTGAGTACAGCTGCTTTGAAGAAATTCGTTAAATTGCTCTCAATAAAATAAAATTCCGTATGATCAGAAAACAGTATCTTACCTCTTGACACCATGCTATACTTGCTACGAATAACACGATTACTAATTTCCGCATTTTATCTAACCACAATAAAGCAATACTAATCTGATATTGACCTTTGATCTCAGTCACTGCCTCGTTATAGAATCTTTTGCAGGAATAGATGAACTACAAATGCTTTGAATGCACTTTTCAACAAATCAAATATTTTGGTTTTAGTTTTCAAACTGCATTACTACTGATGAACTATTTTCAAATATATTTTTATGGTAAATAAAAAGATTGAAAACCGCAAACCCAGTGACAATGCAATGTTCATTTTCAATTTTTCAAATGCAACTTTACAGATGCAACTTTACAAATGCAGAAATTACCAGTTACGTTTAATCGACTGAATTAAATCTAGAAACAATATGTTTATATGCAGCAATGACTAACTGTTGCATTGTTCGCATGACGCTTGTCACGTTCACAGATGTAACGATTAATGAACAAAATTTCGACTGAGACTCGAGATTTAATTATTTGTCTTTTGAACGGCACATATTTTAAAACGATAAATTAATGAGAAAATTGTCTCGGTAAATTCTACGAGAGGTATGACAATTTTCTCAAATTTGGGAAAATTTTCGGATAATTTGATGTTGACAAATAAGACTGTTGGAAACATTTTGTACACTATAAAGTTAAAATCTAAATATAATATGAAATTATGAATGTACACAGGTTTGAGCGTGACATAAAGTTGAGTTTGTAGCACAACGCGCGGTGGACGCTGGTTGCACACGTTAGTGGACATAGCGATCGTTTTGTTATAATGTTGTTGTTGTTCTTGTTGTTCTTTGTCACAGAAAAAATCGCTTTTTTCTCTGATCACTGGAACAATAGCTTTAGAATTTTCAGTGTTCAAAGATTAAATTATCCGCTAAAATGCTATTACTTTAATTTATTTCAAATATTCCGTTGAGCTGTATGGAGTCCGTTTTTTGTGTTCTACCACGTCATTAAAATTTGCCACTATGTAGCGCTACGTGTCCATATATTTGAGCATAGCTCTCTTGTTTTTATTTATATCATCAGGTATACCATATCATTTTATATTATATCGTTCATGAGAAAATATGACAAACTAAATCAATTACTTGCAAATATTTTAATCTAAATACGAGTTGTATCCATTTTATTGCTTATAGTTATTGGGATAATATATTTAATACCCGTTGATACCGTTGTTTAACCTGGGTTCGATCGAACCCCTGGGGATCGGTGGAGCTGTTGCATGGGTTTTAAGAAGGTCTTCTGGTATAGTTTTTCTCACAATTGTGAAAATATCCAAACTTGACATTTCATAAATTAGCTTGAAACTATGTGTTGTCTCGCATAGATATAATCCTATTGGAACTGTCAATGACGGTTATACTTTAGAAAGTTCACTAATTCGAAAACTCGATTTATCGTCACAGATGTAGCGAGTGTACTTCTGTATGATGGCATTTTTAGATGTTTTCTGCTTATAGCTTCACAATATCTTAGGTTGTTAGTTACAAACCTCAGGGGTTTAAACCTAATATTTGCGTGATCGACACCTCATTCAAAATATACTATTAAAAACTACATGTTGCAGACAAGTTGAAAGTCGGAATTAAGTTAACATGAATGAATGTGAAATCAGATAAGTTTGAAGATTACTGACTGATAAAAGTTGCGTCAAAGGGTATTATAGCAGTTGAATATAGCAGCTCGTGTTGCAATTTATGTTGTTATAACCAGTCGAGAATCCATAGGGTTGATGGTTGATCCCTCTTTGATAATGCATGCCATTTGAATTTAAACCTAAAAGCCTAACCTGTGCACAAAAATAACGCAAAAAATTCATAGTTTATCAATTAAAGACGGTTGAATTTTGTATAACCTGCTGCACAAAAGTAGCTTCCCCTTTATAAAGTGCAAATTATGCTCCGGGTTTTCATATGTTCGAAACGTTGGATTTCGCCGGAAGCTTGCAGAACAACTTATGGATTCAGCAGGTTCACAAAGGTTAAGAACTACTACTACCTTATACCCAAGAGCATATACCATTGCTTACTCCGTTATAACGCTATTCGATTCAAAGGATTTGGTTTTGGTTGTGGCGGCATAAACTGTTCTAAATTAGTATGATCGTCCCTCGACTGACAGCGTTTACAATTCTAGCGGTTGAGTGCACGCTTGGTTTGAAACGAGAGAATAACTTGACTGATTTCAATAAAAACGTGCTGACCACTCGTATAATCACATGTTAACAAAGTAGCATTACATTCAACCGAACTATCAAGCCAAAGTACTAACAGTGTATTGCAGATATACTTTGGGAAACGTCTTGAAATTAAACCATTTTTTTTACTAAATACCTTCCAAAATCTGCCTGTTGGTATATTCAGACGGTGGTATGAAACATTCACTAAAGCAATGTCTTACTCCAAGGTTTTTAAAATAGGTTTATGGTTTCCACAGAACTTTTCAAATCCATTGATTGTCGAATAAATAACCTTCCGTACATATGCCGTCAGGCGAAGCGTCTGATACCTGCGACCAGAGTCATCAACTTTGAATGTACAATTGATTGTTCATAGCGTTTGCTTGAATTTTCCACACTCAGAAAATTTGTATATCACATCCTATTTTACAGTATTGATTTGCTTGAACTATTTTTTTTATAGTTGTTTATCTTTTATCATTGTCTATCATGGTAACTTCGCGAGCATGAGTGTAAATGCAGGACGTTGAAGAAATTTTGTATTCGACACATCAACTGGGGCGATAATAAGATTATTATGCCAAACAAGCGACAAATCATACACGAACGGAAGAATTCTAACTAATAAGAATTTAGAACAATTAAAAGGTCAATGAGATGAAAAATCATTCTGATCGTTGCTCCTGAAAGAATTTTCTGCTTCTGTGTACTATTTATATTTTTGCAGTGCTCTGATATAATTGTTCCAAAATATTAATTGGAGGGTATTTATTATGATTTACTCAATTACCTAATTGCAATAGTAAGAAAAAACATAAAAAATGCAATAAAAATAATTTGACGAATGATTAAAGAGTTCCTGTCGTTTAAAAAACAGAATATTATATATAGCACCAAAATACTTTTCAGCGGTGTTTTACGAAATCATATTCAGAAAAGAATTTTTAGATTGATGAGTCCACACACAATATCAAAGCCGTATTCGGTCTAGACCGGAGATACATTCTACTTGAAAATAAAAGCAAGGCCAAATAATTGAACATCATTCATTTAAATGAATGAATAAATTTATAAATTCAGCACAAAATATAAGTAATATTTTATTCAAATTAGCGGATGAGTTTTCTGTAAATAATAAAAAAATTAATTATAAACTATAAAATTATACGGGTCATGTCAAACTTGCTTTAAAAATAATTATGAACAATTGTTGGTAATTTACATGTCAGTAAATCGTATGCCAATAAGTGTCATGGGTGTCGTGAAAATCCTAGAGTGTTTTGCAACATGTATTAATTAGAAAAATTATTTGCAATTTTCATAAATAATATATTTGCATATCTTCGATAGCTTGCATAAAAAGGTTGTGACAAACAGGTAAAGATGTATAATCGCGAAACCTATTTCGAGTGTCAGACATCGTTTGCTAATATCGCCCAGGGCGAGGCAGCATCCGCAGACTTCCTCTGAAAAATAATTTATATATCACATGAATGTTTAATACTTGATGTAAATAAAGGTCGATTGGGTTTCCGTTTTGGTCACATCCTTACATTGAGGAAGGTCTGTGGTTTCAAGTCTGTGGTTACTTTTGAAGCGTTTAGTATGCGAACCGAATCTCATTTTACACCCGCGACATCAAATTTCAAGAATTGAAACATTTTGTAAATATCATTTGTCGGCTTGGTCAAATTAAAAGGTTTGAGGTGCAAAGAATATTGTAGGAAGTAATGGGATGTATAAAACTGGTCAAAATTCAATCAAAAATGTGTATTGAATGCTAACGAAACTTTTTGTTTATTAGATACACAATTAGGAAAATTATTTTCAAAATTACTAATATATTTACCGATAGACATTTTATGACAACAGCCGCAAGTAGAATACCTGAAAAATAAAAAAATGAACATTAGAAGTTTGACACGTTGAGCTTGCTATCCGTATATTGGTCGTGATATGGTAAATTGTTAAAATTTGCTACAAACTTGATGAAAATTTTATTTAATTGAAAAAAAAAAGATTTTATTCTGAGAATTTGACTTCAGCAAATTCATATAGGCATTGTGTTTAAAATATTTATGCATTAATTAGGATTAGTTTTTAAATTTGTAGCAGCCAAGCAGTCAGTGTATTATGCTGAGTTTTTAAAATTACGACCACGGCTAATAACTGCCCAGCTAATTCATGCATTTAGTCAGTAACATCAACAATTTGAAGTTGTCCTATCGGTTTACTTCTTTCCTATTATATGTTAGGAAAATTTCGTGTTTCATTTTGTGACAATTTTTAGTACTATATACTTACATAATATTACGACTATTATAACAGCTTGCCATGGTACTACAACTATTGAGTCATTTCCTTTGCAATCACATTCATTATCACAGTTACATTTAGGCTTTTGGTTGGCTGTACTCGTCATAGCAGGAGTTGTAATCTTGATGTAAAAACAAGAGAGATCAAAAATATTTACTTTTACTGAAGATTGAATGGTACAACTACAAAATAAATTAAAAATAGAATACAGTAAAGATCAAAATAGTTGTTCCATATATATCTCAATATCATGTTAGGGTACAAACGCACAGAAAAATGATGTATTTCAATAAGAAATCGATAAAGATTAACAAACTTATGGGTAGCATGGGCCCTCCTAAAATAAAGTCATACGACCATTTGTTGGCGCTTCGTAGGTTTTCTTACCCAAGATGACGCACAACCTGAACAACCCTAACCTGGTACTCATACTATGTTCAGGTTGTGCGCCATATTGGTACGAATACTTCGAGAGCACCCATTTGTTGAAATTTATAGTGTGACATAAAGTATTTCAAATTATATGGCTCGTGGCAAGGAAATGATAAAATGCAACATAATTATATTGCAATAGTAAGCGGTAGACTTTTGCTTAAAATGTAAAAAAAAATACGAAAATTACCTATGATTCCTGAAATTTTAATTGGATCAGCTATCAATGAAATAGTCTGAGGATTTATACTTGTTAAATTGGACATTATCAATTACAATTAAAATATTTGTTTGTGATGAATATTGCAAATTCTACCATTACGATTCTACATAGAATAATTTTAATTAATAATGTAGTTCTATAATAGCATGTATTTGAATAGGAGGAAATCTTGCCCACTTACCGCCAATACAAAGACATTCATCTGAAACAACATCAAGCAACAAATGAAAATCCATATTCTGTTTGCTACCTGAGCCATTTCCTTTTCGAAAGCATTTAAAATGTAATTAGTATATAGTATTTTACAGTGGAATTGAAACCACTATACAGTAAACAAAATAAATAGGAAATCATTAAACTGACGTCACTTCATTAACGTTTGAGGAAATAATTCTGCATTGGGAACATCTATCGTTGAAGAAGTCGTGTTTAAATGAATTCTATTGACTTGACTCATGTCACTTCACTCATGCTAATTGTTAAGATTACTCTCATGTAGTAAATTTGGTAGTCCATAGCGAACCTAAAAGATTCCGGTCCTCGTTGCTTGTTCAGCGACATATTTGTAGTGAAAGCGAGAAAGCGACGTATAAAATATTTTCCTCAAAAATTGACATCCATTTATGATAAAGACGAAAAAGCACAGTTAACAAAATGCAAATCATTCATTGTCCATTGCGGTAATTGGCCGTGAAGTACGAGAAGTTATATTGGATCGCATGCTTTATGTTACATTGCTTGACTCTCGACACAGCTATTGCATTTTTGGAATATATCAACTCTTAAACTAAATTCCATCCAACTTTGGTAACTTTCTACGTGCTAACGATCGAATTTAAAAAAAAAAAACGATACAGACTTTTGATGATCTGATTAAATACTAACTACTTCAACCTTGTCACATTTGAATCAACATCTTGAAATTTTGATAAAAAATTTTAACAAAAAAAAAAACGCACCTATAAGCGTTTGCTTTGAAGGGAAATTCCACCGTGTTGTAATAGTTTATCTGGAGGGCATGAGAATAAACTCTCGGCGTGACGGCGGTTCGCATTTTTGCGAGATTGGGCAAGCGATACTGAATTACGTAAGACTGGAATTCAAAACTTCTTAGATAATCGTTTAATCTTGGCCGTCGATAGTCTAAACGCAAATTGCACGTCTATACCACGTCTGACATTTAGCAATGAATGAAGAATTTTTGAATAGCGCACGCTATGACTACAACAATCAATACTGCGCTTATATTCAATACGCGACATTATACATATAAATCTAAATAATATTAAATACTATCTTGTCCTATTGATTTGATACGACTCGCATCACCAATTTACATACCTCTTGCTGTGTTTCGTTTTTTTCTACTTCTGTAAGTCTGAAGCTGGTTTTTAAAATGCTACAACTGTTATTTGCAAATGAATCAACTGTTGAACAAATGTAAAGATGTCTTTAAATAATCACTCGACCACGATGGCTTAGTCGCGCGTATCGAGATTTTTATCAATGGACATGTAGCATGTCCGCAGTTAGTTGACTCGAAATCGTTCATGAACATCTTGACATATATTTGACACGAGAATTTGAAGTCCAAGAAATACCTCAACTACATGTAAAAGGAATGAACACTCAAATTAGGTGAAGATAATAACCGACCACTGCAATATTAAAAGATCAAAAAAAAAATCATCTTCAAAATTGCGGCGTTGTACTATCCAGCGCATATACATTGTCGTGGTACTTGAAGTATATGGACCCCTAATAGTCAAAAAATATTCGGAAAGCTATGCTAATAAACTCATATACTTGATAAAAGATTTACTGGCCTTCATTCCCTTCAGTAAATATTGAAGAAAATTTATTTTTACCAGAGTTCGTTTTGAATCACTAATCGCCAAAAGGTAACAAATCAATAAACCCGAGCGCACTTTAACAGAGCAAAATCGAAAGTGTTTTATCATATTCAAAAGTTCATTAAATTGCGTTCTGGTATTTGAACAAGTTAATATTTCAAATACTAAAAGTAGACAAATAATATATATACGAAGCTCACCGATCCAGTCTCAATATAACATTGAAAGTAACTCACAAAGGAATTGTGTTTACTTACTTACTTTCAGCTTGAGCTGCTCGTCAAACGGATTAGGTTTAAGCGAAATTTTCTTGAATAAATTAGCAGATGGATAATTCAGCCTTTAGATCGCAGAATTGCGAGAATTAATTTTGAATATTAAATCACACAATTGAGCATTCATCATTCTTAAAATAGGTTTCGTAGTAAGAATTCACACTATGAAAACTATGGCATAGAAGTTGAGTCAAGCGATTAAAATTTAAATAGATCAAACTTGCTATTAACGTCTAAGTTTACAGTTACCCCTTTAACCTAATCGATATCTTGGGATTTCCCCTTCAACTGTCATATTTTGAGCAAAAGCAGTTGCCACTGCGAATTTTTCATACTGAAACACATGAAACACTGAGGACTTAGAAAGTGAAATTCTCCCATGATGTAATTTCTCTACACGAAAACACACATTACGTCATTCGCACGTTCAATTCCAATTCAAACTAATTTTACATTATCGTGAATCTCAAGTTCTTGAGAACAGTGCTCATGAGTTTTGAAATAACATATTTTGTGATAACAGGTATGTTCTACTAAACGTCAAAACCTAAGCGGAAATATTCTTAAGCGTCAAATGTAAGACGCAAAACTCTGACTTTGGGTAAAAAAGTTTCCGTGATTAAATAATAATTTTTTTCAAATTTTATGTTAAATCGATCTGTCATGATAAGCAAGTTGACATTTTGAAACAAAAGCTGCTAAAATTGCAAAAGTAAGAAAATCCATTTTAAGCTTTTTCTTTCATTTTTGAGAAATGAACAAAGTCCGTAAAGGTATCGTTATTTATTTTATCAAATAAATCGTATATTTTATAAAAATACAGGTAAATGTTGTTAGGTAATATGTCAATACAAATTTATTATAACTATTTCATCTTCCTTGTATTCATAGCAGTTTTCTACAATACTATCGTTTTGTAAACAGTATTTTCCGCGACAGAGAAATTTTTACAGCCATCACTGGCACAAATTTGATTTGCATCTTACAAAGATAAGGAAAATTATCTGTTAGATATTTAAAAAAAATCAATCAGAATCTATTAAAAATTAAGGAAACAAAAACAAACGGTTCAAACTATTATCAACCATCGATTTATTTCAGATTTTATAATATTTTAATCATGATGTATAGGCTGCTACAAAAAATAAAATTATGTATATCCAAAACAATTGAAGCGCTAGACCAGGGGTCGGGAACCCATGGCTCGCGAGCCATATATGGCTCTTTTGGTGACGGCATATGGCTCCCAAAAAATCTAATATCCCAAGACTAAGCTTACTATTGTTACGAGATTTCAAACTCTTTTATAGCCAAATTTGGCAGGAAATTCCCAATACGTTTGAGAAGGCGCGTCCAGCACATGTGTATGTTATGTAAGATAATTACCAGACAGGCATTGTGACAAACAAGGGGATTCTGGAACATATATTGTGACATCACAAAGCGATAGGGTTTTGAAAACACTACGGAGATACCTAAACGAAAAAGGGCGATGAGTATCGTAGATTTCAACTTGGGCTGCATGTGAGCAACCGTTCAAGGCCCGCAGCGACTACATGCAGCATCAGATAATCACATTAAGTGTATACTGACATTGTATGTGTTGACTTTTGAGTAAACATTTCAGGCCTGATTAAGTGAAAAATGTTATATGGCTCGCACGGAAATGCAATTGAAAATATTTATATTTTATGGCTCTCTTGACCAAAAAGGTTCCCGACCCCTGCGCTAGACAAAAGATAAATGCAATCTGGGCATTTCAGTCCTCAGATTAGATCAGTCAGTAGTGCTGATGATTATCATATACTTATTTTAATATTTGAATAAGTTGAACTCAACCAAATGACGCACCCAACGTTTTGTTATGTAATTGAAACCTAATTACACGCAACCAATTGTTTTTGAATTTGGACCAAGATTCCAAAACATTTTGCCATATACTTTAGTTTAATTTCTGTGATTTGAATATTACTTCTTTATAATGTGTCTAAACTTTAAATCATGTGTGAAAATCGAAGCAAGTAATAATATATTTTGATAACAAATTCTTTCATATGTTCAAGTGTTATGTTAAATGGTTGAAAAGATACATTCGCATTAGAAGATCAATTGCGGTATTCCAGGCTTATTTGAGTATGCATTAAACATGAATCAATCTTATTGTTTCGTTATTCTGCTGGGATGACAATTATTCAATTTCAATATGTTATTTAGTACTAAGATTAAGATAGTAATTTAATGCCAAAGTGCGTCAAAAGTGTTGAAGCATTCAACTGATTTTATTTGCAAAATAGAACAAAATAACAAATCAGGTTGAGACCTCAACAATAACTGGAACTATTAGAAACAAAATGTTTCATAAAACTAACAAAGCAAATTATAGATTTACGGAATTCTCGAATATCTTGGACAAACCCCATCCACCTTTTACAATCGCCATCCAACTTTATATTAAAAGGGAACGAACGATCGTTTGTTCCACGCATATCTATGCTAATATAGGTGACATTTCATGGGTCCTTATCTTTATTATTGTTTTCCTCTTTCTCTTTTGTTCCAATTTGATCATTAACATCCATATCATCCATAGTTATGTCAAATTTTTCAATTCGTTGTTGGTGTTGGAGGTCTTTTTCGTGGACTTCATTTTCTACAATTGCCTCAGTTTTGCTGTTTTTATGCTCATTCTCTGTGCCATTGGCTTTATTATTTTTTTCATTAACATTTTGTTGTTTGTCAGCAAGGGCAATATTCAAATTGTGAGACATAGGTCTGGCAGGAACCACTCTTTGTTCAAATACACGATATTCATCGTATTTTCTTAATGATGGTTCGGAAATTTGACGACCGTCAATGTCGTAAAACCGTATTTCTCCTCCTTTCCTTCTTCCTTCTATAACTCGAGATGATTTTTCGGGATCATATGCTGATTGTCTGCTGTATTTGTACTAAAAACAAAACTGTTTTTAAAAACCAATATAATTAATTCATGCGATTTGCAAAATGAAAGCCTTGTTAAGGCATTCGAAACACGGCATAAAAAATTTGAATCAGAGAATCTAAGAATAAATATGACTTAAACACATACAGATACGTGGAACTGATTTATACACCATTTAAAAAGTGTATTCATATATCAAGAAGGCTGGACATCATATCATTATTGTAATTCGTATTTATATCAATATTTACTCACCTTGTAATTTGCATAAATTAACACAGCAATACAGAGTAAACCTGTGAAAATAAATAGCCTCATTATAGAGGTAAACCGATGCAGTATTAGCATGATACAATGGTAGTGTCAACAATTTTTCAAATATTTAAAATGAAAATTATTTAACGAAGATATTTAGCAAAATTGGCCTAATCGCGTGATTGTGATTAATTAACACGAGGTGCTCTGACTAAATTTATAATAAATATTAATAATATATTACAATAAATATTATTTGTATACGAAAATCTTAATCACCAATTTTGTTCTAGATCGAATCTTGATAGAATGAGTGAACAAGTGAAAAACGCGTTATATCATATGACTTTTCTCTTCTTTCATGTATTAGGTACCTGCAATAACAGCTGGAATAATAATTCCCCATTGTGTGGATGACGGATCATCTTCAACAACACATATACAAACGTTGTGACATATCTTTTTCAAGCCTTCGGTACAATTGGCATTGACAGGAGTTGTAAAAGTTGTCATTCTTGTGTGTTATCTGTAAGATTCATGATAAAGTTTTATTTTATTTAAAATTACTTACAAAGAATATTCAACATTGTGTGAAAGTGAATGAAATAATTTAAGGCCCTCACGCCAACCCGATGCTATAGACCAGTGTGGTTTCCAACCTTTCGCTTCGAGCGGCCCAATTTTTGTAAAAAAAATTATTTTGTAAAATCTCGCGATTCAAAGATATGCTCAAATACTATATACGACATGTAGTGATTTTATATAACCACAAAATTAAATACAAAAACAAAATCATTTTACATAAAATTTATCTCATTATTTCAAAATTATTGCTTGCTTGCCCACAACGATTTATTTAAATCATGGCGTGGCTACTTTTTACGCTGTGATACTTCCAACATATACAATTACGATTGATCAACACTTCAATACCAGAAATAAAAAGGCAACAACATTCACTAAAAATGAAAATCAATACGTTTTAGGTTTTCGCTGAAAAAATTAGCAATTCTAAAAAAATTGGGTCGCGAGCCATAGGTTGGGAAACACTACTATAGAAGGGTGATCGTACATTTGAATCCACGTACATTTGAACCCATGTGTATATCCACGGGTTCAATCTATATGCGGGTGCTAAAACCCATGGGTTAAGGTTAGTATAGGTTCAAATATCCGCAAAACAAAAAAAATTCCATAGGTGCAATAGAATGCAGGTGCAATTGTCGTGGGTTCAAATGTACGGGAACCCTATAAAATAGAGACTTGATAGTCGCTTGAATACTGTACTATAAGTACAGTAAGTAGTACTAAATGTTTAAAGGAGAAAGCAATCACAGAGGTGGGTTTTCTCGTTTTATGTTGCGTTATCATTACTATCATTACATTACCTCTAATGAGAATATTATATTAATTTAATATACCTATCATAGTTGGCTAACTTTGCTATATGACAGTTACTGATTGGGCTATACTATTTCCTGCGGGGCTATTTATTAATACAAATAAATCTGTCACTATCAACTATTCTCAATTTGATAACACACAGCTATACATACCATGCAGGACGAACCAACAAAATTAATATTGCCTCTTTAGCATGACTGTCTGTTTCTTTTCATGCTACTTTCATGCTGTTGCAGACGAATCCGCTATGTTCAAAGTTTACATTAGATCAATGACCATTGCTTAACCGGTTTATGTTAAATTAAATTCACATATGTACCACACATCAAAAACGCAATTTATCTAGGCATCATCCTCGATCGGAATAACGACTCATTGTTCGGTCAGATCAATATGTACATTGATGCAATTAATCATGTTGTCACGTGACTTCCTGTGGTCCGTCCAAAGTTTCAAACTCCAAGAAATATGGCGCCTAATGAATTGATTTAATGAATCTTATGCATTATTTTTAGAAAAGAAGTAATGTGTTTTCTGAAACCTATAATTAAATTGCGAGGTTGGTTGTAATTAGCTGTCAGGTTTTATTCCCTGGCACCATTGATGAAGTTGTGTCAAATTATTAGATATTACTTTCGGTGTACCATTGTCAATTCAAGATTGAAACCAATTGATAATAAAATAAAATTAACTTGATCATTCTCTTCGTATTTATGGTGATATTTGAATCTTATGTACAGAAACCACGTTATGGTATGTGAACTGCTTGATGATGAATGGGCCTGAAATTTCCGTATTACGGAAGTTCAACAATCGAATGATAAAATAGTTCTAATAATTTTAATTTCATTCCCGTATTAAGCAATTTCATTTTTATTTCATATGTTCGATTTATTATAGTAATTATACGTAAATGTATTATCAACATATGGCAAACTTTATAGATTTCCAAACAAATTTGACAAATCAAGACTCTTCTTGTCATATAACTGCCTAACGGCGTGAACAATATCAATAAAAACATTCAAATCTGTTTCCGCATATGTCGGACCCAAATTTAACCCAAGCAATGTTTGATTCACTATAAAACTGTGTAACGTGGATTTGTCAAACAGATGTTATCCATGCACACGAGGACAACTAGTATTAATTTATCTCCCTCTATTAGTTAGTTCTATGGACTTGTCTCTGACGTAAATAATTGGCAGTCTATAAATAACACCAAAAATGTAGTCATAAAGTGTCACTAAAATGCTCACATTTTCGTTGACTGGTGTGACATCGTATTTGGCATTTTTCAGTGGTTATTCTAAAGTAAAAAAAAAAAACTAACTGTGCATGACAATGAATGACGTTAACATTTACTACACATACTGCACTTTTATAAGTAATTTATTTTCAGAAATTGGAATTTGTTATTTTGGATTTGATTTTGGAAATTTATGCAATATTTCATGTTTATTGGACACGAAGTGGACATAACGATCGTTTCAAAATTTTGTTGTTATTGGTATTGTTATTCGTCTCCGTCTCCATTTTTAAAAAATCGCTTTTCTCTTCGAATACTGGACCAATTGCTTTGAAATTTTCAGTGGTCAAAAATAAAATTTTTCTCCAGAAGGCTATTACTTTTTTTTTCGCTATGACGTCATCAAAATTATTGCCATTGGGCGGCGCTACGTGTCCATATATTTGAGCATAGCTCTCTTGTTTTATTTTTAATTTTACGTTCAAATTCATTTCGGATATTGTAACCTCAAAATATGACAAACTTGGAGTTAGGTCATAATGGTTGCAAATTACTGATATATAGCGATTGGAAAAGCACCTTTGGTTAGAATTTAGCGCTGAAAACACTGGACTTGCAACTGATGTAGATTTTCCCAGTAAGTAATATCCAAACGTAGCTGAGGAAATTTCAATATCAATTTGGAACAAAAAAAAGTGAAAATATAGATATGATAGTTTTTGAATAGTGCTTATTTCTTGACCTACTTGACACAATTCAAATGTATATAACTATAATTGGTCTAAAACTAAAGTCACTTGGCTTACTTGTATAACCTTTTTTACCAAACTTTAAATTTATATATATATATATATATATATATATACTTTAAGTATTGATGAATGCTGCCTAACATGAAGAGGACGATGTGCGCAATGTTTATTTTATATGACTCAGTATGATTCGTAATATTCGGTCAACAGCAATTTAAATATATATTTATTCTTTGTTTATTAAAGTTGGTGTTTGATGTATGGTAGGTGTTGTTTCTTGAGTGGTTTGTTTTAGAAGTCAACAAGAACCACACGTTGATATTGAATATTGTGATGTTTGATTATTTTTTTGTATAAGTTTGCCCAATTGCAAATTGTGAGCTGTACGATCTGGAACAATTTTTCAACACCACTGACACTGGAAGGTCTTGTAATATGAAGATGTATATAAAGATGTATAATACAAGAGTTGAGACTTAAGACTATCAGAGAAAACATCTATAGTGAAACATTATAGAAAAAACTTTTTAGAAACAAAATGACACAAAGGCATTGTCAACAAAGACGACGTTAATAGATTAAGACTAGTCGATAATCCATTAGATCCCCCCCAATGTTTAAATCACAAAAATATTTGATGTTGTCAACATTTTGATTAAAGTATGCCAGATACCTATGAATACTCCCTGAGGCGCATCACTAGGGGGAATCACCGTTGAAGAGAAGTTAGTTTCGAATAACGTTGAGCGAAAAATAACATACAATTAAGTTGGATTCTCCTGTTCAATAATGAAAATTTAAACAAAAATTTCCGGATTTACGTAAGATCGTAACTGTATGGTACAGATATTTAAAGAAGAGAAATCCATATACCATGCTATTCGGAGTATTTTCGACCAAGAGGCGCGTCGCTTATTATCTCAATTTTTACCAGATTCGTAAAGATCGGCCTCATCATATGAAAAGTCATATCTTGAATATATTATGTCTATCGCAAAAAGAGCTTTTAAAACGACCGATTCTTTTTCGTTCCGGAGAATGTTTATCGTCTGTATTAATAATTCGCTTATATAATATGTCAGGTACTGCTCAAATATCTTGAATACCGTTTTTTTTATACTTGTTTTTGTTCTTGACCAAATGTGGATTTACCTAATTTATTTTATACCGATTATGACTGACCGTTCACGATGGCAGGAACCTGAATGTAGTATGTGTACGAGGTTAGGGTTAGGCCAATTTTCAGGTACAAATACTACGGGAGTCACTTGGATAGTCCCCGAACTCGTAATAGAAATAAAATAAGGAAAATTGGAATAAAATTATGACCTAACCTGGTACAAATACTATGTTCGGGTGTCCGCCATCTTGGTTCACATATACTACGAGAGTAGCAAAATCTTTTATGTCGCTTCGCTAGATCTACCACACTTTGTTTCAGTTTAATCTCTTAATCTGATTTTCAATTTAGAAATCGTAATATAATGCATGTACCTGAAATAATAATATTCTTCATATTTTCATTTGCTGCATTTCTGTCGACATATTCAGCATCAACCATCGTAAGTAGTAGAAGTAAAAACGAAAAAATGTTCTGAAATGGTATTTTCATTTTAAATATAGTTCTTGAAACTTCAAAACTTCAAAAGCATAAAGAATGAATATTTATATGACGGAATTTCAACTTCAAGCTTAAAGCTTACTTCACTTTTTTATAATTTTCTATATTTTTATAAACCCATTGAAACTTTTACATTTATGGGGAATAATGAATTGTGCTTACCCACTATTAAAACTATATTGTTGGGTATATTTAAAAATTTGTACATAAATATTATACCTTCAGACTGCAAACCTGAACAAATCCGAACTGAACAACTCTACAAACTGTACTAACCGTGCAAATTTGACTGATACCAAAAATTCAACTAGCTTTACGTGCCCAGAAGAAAGCAAAAGCCGTGCTTGGATTGCTGGTGTTGTTATTTTTATAGGTGAGAGATAGTAAAAATAGTAATATTTAATAAATTATTTTGTTTAATTTAAATTTTTGAAGCTATGGATCTTTATTTTTAATGTTGCTGAAACTCGCAAGGATATTATTAAAAAATCGAGTCTACCGCAACCTACGTCTAGTTTTTAAAATAATGTTTTACAATATTTCTTAATTATCTTCACTATAATAAGTTTTAGATAAACGAAAAATTAAAATAATTTTTGTAAAAATAATAAGTCGTAGATTGCAATTGTAATGTATATGCACCAACCAATTGCATTTTATCAGACCCATTGCATCAAAATATTTGCATTAGTAGTCTCATTGTAAAACAGTGCAAGTACATGAGTTACCATTAGGCAAGTAGAAATGTACTATATTTTTTTCAGTGCTCTTCCTATTTGGCGGTATTTGCGGAAAAGGAAACGTATCCGTTTCAATTGGTGGCGGAGGTTTCGGTGCTGGAGGAGGGGACGGCGGGGGTTGTGGATGAAGAGATTTTGTTTTTGAGGTTTTGTAAGAAAAATGTGACAATATATAATTATCATCAAGCACAGTTTTTTTCATACGTATTTATGTATATTGTAAATGTTTCATTTAACGTAAAATCAACGTTCTATTTTAAATCAGACGAGTTTTAAAAATAGTAAAATCTATATATCATTGGTCATTTCGTACATTGCTAAATATTTTAAACATTACTTAATTATGATTCGTTTTTGTGTGCATAATAATGACATGTACCCAAATTTTGTATGATATATTTTTACTCCAATAAAATAATAAACAATAAGTAACAATATATTATATTTGAATATTGCTATTTTTGTTACGTGCTAACTCATTATGTTCAAGCTTAGAAACAATTACTGCCTATTTGAATAAAGTTAAACCCGGTATAATATGATCTATGAAGTACGCTCCATGTAAATAAAAAAAGCTATTGCACTCATTGAATTTAAACTAATAAAATACTTTAGATAGAACAATAATATTGCTATCGTTCATACGATTTTTATGTTTAAATTGCTCGTGCTATTTCATAATTTTGATTTTAAAATAGATGTGCAATTTCGGTATTGCAACATCATTTTCATAATTAAAACATATGATTTTGAAATAAATAATTCTGACAAAAACAAGAATTAGCAATTTTGGATGAACTAGTAAACGTGAATAAAATGAAAAACGTCATCGTCATGCGATCAACACAATACTGATTGATAGCCCGGGGGTTAATGAGTAGGGAAATAACCTGCACAAAGAATTTAGTTTTGGCATAACATGTCAGTCGATACCACAAGCAACTGTGATGGAGCATTTCCTAACAATTATGTCCAAGTCGAGAGACATAGAACCCAGAACAATACGAAATCGAGACAGCGGAAATGTGAAATGATAATTTTATGTAGCATGTAGTGAAACATTTTTTTTATCTTTGTCGTATTTCATGGAGTGCGTTGAAATACTAACTTAATAAGTGCGCGTATTTCGTCTTTGATTAAAACTTTTCGTTGAAAAAGGAATGGTCGCAAGATGATCAAAACTATTTAAAACTAATAGTAGTTTTACTAGCCTAGCAAAGTCAGGTCTAATGTTAATATATTTGATTATGAATATTGGCGGACAAAATGTTAGACGTTTAAATTAGTTCCCATTTTCCCAATATTGGAAGCTCACAATACAATTTTGAACGAACTAAAAATCGTCACACAAAATTGTGGAAACATGCATTGAAATGACGTATGATTTATAGATAGTCAGATATTTACTGTTGACAATCATTGAGCGTGTACTACTAACATAAATGTCTTCTATAAATAATGTCAAACGCAAGCTGAGAGACATAAAATAAAAATGTTTGTAAGATAACAATCGCATGTAGCAGATAATTGGAGAACAACAGGCCAGATACCATACCAACAGTAATATTTCTTCAAGTACTAATGGAGTTACTTTATTACTATAATTTGCTTCCATCACGAAATATTATCCAATATACCAAAATATGATTTGCTAGGCATTGCCATCGTAAAAGATATATTGCTAGAACTACTTTAATATTTATACCAGGAAAATTGAATAAAAAAATTAACGTTTTGACATTTGGTACGCAGTTTCCTAAGTTTTCGAAGGGTATAAAACAGCTACTCAAAAAAATCATTTGGGGCACACGAATTTATTTTCATATTATTTTTTCTCTTTGTATTTTGTTATTAAAGTTCAAGAAGCGTAACAAAATGAGTATTTCTCAACTTATGATGATCTACACATTCTGTTTTTCTGCATTTCTTTTGACATATTCAGCATCAACCAGTGTAAGTACTACAATACAAATTAGGCTTGCACGTAATTTACGGATTTACGGAATTACGGAATTATTTCGAGTTACGGAAGCGAAGTTGCGAATTACGTAAAGTCGTAATTATTGGTCGAGCGCTTTTGCGATTGAAACGAGCTCTCTTCAGAGCAGTCAATTCCGTCGATTGTAAAAAATTAAAGTTTAAGTAAAATAAGTTAGAGTTCCGGTATTCGCAGCCGTTTTCTCTCTCTTGTTAGGCAGATGGGGAAGGCATAACGCGTCATTTACTAACCTATTATCAACTTATCTAGGATGGCCAATGTACATATTAACCGTAGATAAGGAATAGAATTGTGTTGAGACCGATGGACGTCAACACACCTGGTTTCAACTTCTTCGGGTGAAATGACTAAAGAATGTAAGAGATCAACTTATAAAACATGGTCTATTTGTAAATGCCGTGATAATTAATGTCTCGCTTATCAAACAGCAATATAAAGACGGAAAAGAAATTGCATAATGAACCAACGCAACTTAGTCATTTCGGCATCGGTAAAGCGATTGAGACGGCAGAGAAACAACAATACGACGGGATTTCCCCAGTTTATTCTGCGCGAGATCCATTTTCTATTACAAAATCTTGATGTTCTGTTACCGATTTTATCGTTACATATCTGTCCGGACTTGGCATTGCTCAATATGTTTTTCACAATGCATCGCAATATTTTCGGCCAAATATGATTACCTGTCTTTACCAAATGCGCAACTTATTTTGATTCATCGTCGACTCGAATACCACCGGCACTCGACCAAACTTGTGTCAATCTTGGCAAATAGGATTGTCGACTTGAATTAGAAAAATAAATGCCACAAAATGCATTGTTTTGCGATATAACTTTGTATTTTCGGAGAAGGCATGTCATATAAGTACCGTATTTTAAATAATGCGCAAAAAATTAATATTTGATCTAAATTTATCGCAAATAATGTTATAACTTTTAGGCCGCGAAATGATTTAATGTAAAATGAAGCATGGAATTCGGAATATCGTCAATAAGTCGGCATCAATAATTAATATAAAATGCTAACTAAGTAGTAAAATCGGATATTGTAAAAAACGGTGAAATAACAAGTCTTCGTCGCGAGGCAAGCGAAAGTATAATCAAACGAGAGAATACGCTTGTAGTTGATTAATAAATTAGCAACCCGGAATTTTTATTTAATACGAAAGTCGTATTAATACGTTAATACGATTTTAAAAAAGCGAACTATCGTTTCTTAAATATATTACCAGTGTTGGTAATGATAAAATTGATCGCATAAAATTTGGTGATAAAGTGGGTAAAAAAAAATCAAAACTAATACAAAAGATAAAAATCAGAATAAAATTATTTTGAATTCACTCCTTGATATTTTTCTTTAACATCTGTCGCCGGCGTGTAGTCCTACTGCCGGGAATATGAAAACCAAACTTCGATGTCCCATTCGGAATAGAAGTAGATTAAATTGATTGTTATGATAGGTTTAAATGTGTGAAAAAAATATCGCAATTACGGGGTCATTACGTAATCGATTTGGCCGTAATTACGGAATTGATTTTTGTCAATTACGTGCAAGTCTAATACAAATTCAATTTTTTTTTAATATATTTCACTTTCTGTGAGGAAATATTTTGATTGGATTTACTAGTCATAATCATTGACTCGGTTCTAGTTGGAAATCAGTCACCATTTGTCAAAGAATCTAACTACCTTGACGTGTCTGAATGGAATAACTCGCACATGTCATAATTTAATCATCAGTGAGACTTAACTGAGTGATAGAATCGACTTTGGGTCAGAATCGACGCTTAGATAACTATAAACAGATTTGACTACCATGCACTGCTTACTGCTTAGATTTTCATCATATTCCCAAGTTCTTCAAATTCCCATTGACTGCAAGGTTAGCCCGTCACCTTCTTATATTTGCCGAACATGATAATGGAACCGTTCAAATTTATAGGCCTGCGTCTTGTAAGATCGGTGAATGACGACTAATATGAAAGTGTAAGTGTACATAAATGTTAAATATATCTGATTTACCTTTGCTAGTTGTCGTCGTATTTGAACTTTCAGTATATTAACCATAAATATTGTTTTAACTCTAGACCCAAAAACTAGATATCTCTGAACTCAAAAACTCGACGAAATGTGCTCAGGGTTCAAAATTAAACAACAGAGACGATAGAAATAGCTTCACGTGCCCTGAAAATACCAGACATCTGGGTTGGATTGTGGCAGTAATTTTTGGTGGCATAGTAGGTGAGAAAATGTACAATTTATAAAAGATATGCAATAATATGATATGTGCAATAAATAGTTGTGATATAGCAAGGTTCATTGGTTTCTATATATATATTGGGAATTTCGGCTTCACCATTAGATTGCGTTAAATCCTGTTTTGTTTTAGCTCTCTTCATAATTGTAATAAGTATGAAAAGATTAATTTGCGGGGGACTATCACATCCAGGAGGAGGAACAACAAGAGGAGGAGGTGGTGGAATAGGTTTTGGTGGCGGGGGGTTCTCTTCTGGAGGAGGAGATGGGGGTGGCTGTGGCTAGGAAGGATTTATGAGCATTAATCATGATTAAATCGATTTTTAAATAATACCAGAATTCCAATATAGAAAATGTTTTTTTTGTGTCATCGTTCGACATATTATAATTGAAATGGAACTTTCGTCTAGCTTGTTTTGTAATACATCTTGTAGACTCATCGGAAATTATCAATCATAAAAATTTGCTTTAAAGAGAAGTGCCGAAACCCAGTGATTTGATATTTTTTCTTTCACTTGATTTTCATTGACTACGTGTGCTAGACAAAAGCTTCAGTTGCGTTTATACTTTGATAGTGATTAATTGCTAAAATAAAACCTCCCATAGCAAGTTGAGTAGCAAGCACCCTTACAACGTATAGGTAAATAACAATCTTTGACAAAACAATAAAGTTTGTGAAATAGTTATTGGGTATAAGAGTTTTGAAGTGTAGAATCATTTATTTCGTTGCTCATGGGGTAATCTATAAAACTGAGTTTAAAGTGGGATATAAAATCAATCAATTCTTATATCAAAAATATACTGAAACGTATTCAATATTATAATATTGTTTTCAAACGTGACGTAAGGTCGGCGTCTAGATTTAGAGCCACCACTTGTTTTTATGTGTAATTCATTTTCTTTGTAAGGTAATGTTTCAAAATTATTCCATAATACGTTCAGAATCCATAGTTTCTATCTAAAGTTTTATAACTCAACAAAGTCAGTAATGCATTGTCTGCCTGTGATATATAATGCAACCTGGTCTGAAGCTGGTCAAAAAATTGTGTGTAGGACGGTATCTGAAATTAAAGATAGACATTTGAAACGAAGATGAAATTAATCATTACTGCCAAAAGGGCATTACTGACGTTCTTTAAAAAATGAAACGCAATGCTCACGTAAATAATTTT